CGTTTTTAAATCTAATAATCAATATTAAACAAGGGGTTGGTTGTTGTATAAATACACTTGTTCAACCGTCACTGACCGTGCAAGACCCTCATGGGCAGTCAAGGTCGTTAAAAAAAACCCTCGTCGTCGTCACATTTTCACGCCCCTTGTCCTAAGACAAGAACCTCGTAAGTATAATTGTCATACTCCATATTTAAACGTTTTCCATTCATTTGGGAATTGGGTATGGCTGATTCTAGGTTTTTTCGGTTGAATCTATTCACAACTTTTTAGACTATGGATGTTTAGAGCTTAACATATATCTAGACACCTGTCTTTGTAATTTTGAAGACTGTAAATGACATATGTAACGTCGATTTTGATTGAATAACGTATGTCGTTAATTCCATGGTTGACGTTCGTAGTTACAATCGGAATTGCACGAACCTAACATTGAGTTAGACAAGATACGTCACAGGGTAAACAACTCCTGCTATACATGAAATCACCAATTCACCAACATTCCAACTGACTCCATTTTCAGAAAACGACATCTGTAACAAACATAAACTTTTAGCTACCGCGTTACAAGCAGAACCAAATACAATGAAAGTCCCAACTATGTATTGGCTTCCGAAGCTACACAAAACACCTTACAAATATAGATTCATTTCGTCTTCAAGCCATTGTTCCACTACTAAATTGTCTATTCTTCTTACCAGTACACTTGGTACAATCAAAAACCTGATAATAAATTGTTCAAATAAGGCCTTCGAAAATAGTGGAATTAATTACTTTTGGAGTGTCAAGAACTCGTTGGAAGTACTTGATAAATTACATGCATATATTGGTGATTTTGAATCTGTTCAAAGTTTTGATTTTTCTACCCTATACTAGTATACCACATTGCCTCACATTCTCATTAAGAAAAAATTCACACATCTAATTAAATGGGCATTTAAAAAGTCAGAATGTGAATATATATGTTCAAACTCTTTTAGGTCATTTTTTAGTAGCAATAAACAAAAAAACCATGTCAATTGGACATGCTTTGATACTATATATGCCCTTGAATTTTTACTAGATAACTTTTTTGTTCGCTTTGGAGATTCCGTATATCGTCAGGTTATCGGAATTCCAATGGGGACTAACTGTGCACCACTTATTGCGGACCTTTTTTTGTATTGCTATGAGTTACAATTTATGAGAAAAATCAGCAAAGACCCATCGAAACAACATCTGATACACAAATTTAATAATACTTTTAGATATTTGGATGATATTTTGGCTCTCAATAATGACGACTTCAGTATGTATACTAAAGAAATTTATCCTGTTGAACTTACTTTAAATAAAGCTAATACTAACAATGACCACTGCCCTTTCCTCGATCTTGATATCTATATCATTAACGGAAAGCTTAATACTAAAATATATGATAAAAGAGATGATTTTTCATTTCCTATCGTTAATTATCCATTTTTAGATGGTGACGTTCCCTTGTCACCATCTTACGGTGTTTATGTATCTCAACTTGTACGATTCGCTCGTGTATGTAACAATGTTTTAGATTTTAACGAGAGAAATTTATGTATTACTGAAAAATTATTACACCAGGGTTTTCGATATCACAAACTAGTCAAAACATTTACTAAATTTTATCATCGGTATAAGGACATCATTCGTAAATATAGCTCAACATGCAGACTTCTTATACGTTCAGGTATTTCACATCCAATATTTTATGGAAATATTCTTCATAAAGCACAAAAATGTCAGTATTCACCTCTGAAGCTAACAAAACCTTTAAATAGACTTATTAAGAAGGGATATAGTTACGATACTGTTGTCAGGTCATTAAAGATTGCATATTTTGGCGTTAATATTGATTCACTTATAGGGTCTTTGCATCTGCACTAAACACATTTATTTAAAAACCAGTTGTTGGCATGACACGGGTTATGTTCTTCTCATATATGTTATGATGGTATGATACTAAACCCCTAACGGGAAGGATTGTGCCTGATATTCATATGATGTGAAGACATAATCTTTCAATCAGTTTAATTGAAGTCTGGAGCTGGCATGTCAGTTAACTGCTAGTAGTCTGTTGTTATTTATGTATTATTGTCATTTTGTTTATTTTCTTTGGTTACATCTTCTGACATCAGACTCGGACTTCTCTTGAACTGAATTTTAATGTGCGTATTGTTATGCGTTTACTTTTCTACATTGGCTAGAGGTATAGGGGGAGGGTTGAGATCTCATAAACATGTTTAACCCCGCCGCATTTTTGCGCCTGTCCCAAGTCAGGAGCCTCTAGCCTTTGTTAGTCTTGTATTATTTTTAATTTTAGTTTCATGTGTACAATTTGGAGTTTAGTATGGCGTTCATTATCACTGAACTAGTATATATATTTGTTTAGGGGCCAGCTGAAGGACGCCTCCGGGTGCGGGAATTTCTCGCTGCATTGAAGACCTGTTGGTGACCTTCTGCTGTTGTCTGTTCTATGGTCGGGTTGTTGTCTCTTTGACACATTCCCCATTTCCATTCTCAATTTTATGAACCATCAATCTCACGATTCACATTTAGTTTAATAGTTGTTATAGCCATAAACATGACAAACCTGCAATATTTTCAGATGGAAATTAAATATCACATTTATGACAAAGGTATAGGAAAACTGAGATTATAAAGATCAACAAAGTAATGATAGACAGCGACTACATAATTACTAAAGTGATAATTTCATCCGGTGTTCACACATTGTATGTTTTTCCTAGGTTATGAAAAGCCAGACGCAAAAGTACGTGTATTCTAAGAATCTTTTAAGCATTTGACACTATCAATACATATATAGATCCCAATGTTCTATCTACATCCCTTGCAAAGGAGGAAATTGTAGCATAAATTTCACTTTGATAAAGACATCAATCTTTTTTCCTTGAATACTTAAATTTCACAAACATTTATTCACCGACATTATTCAGCTAAAATATTTGTATCAAAAAAAGTATTCATGTACTTCAATTGTGAAATAGAAGTCAGTTTTAAAAAATATCCCAAAATATTAACCTTTAGTTTGTATGTAAATTTTACTTGTTCGGTCAAATTTTGTTTTACACTTTAAGAAATCCACAATGGTCAAAAACATATCATTTGAACAAACTTAAACCTTTCAATCAATACCTTCTTAAAAAAAAGTATCCGCATGCATGATATCCTGACTGATATCTTTGTAGTTGTGGCGTATTGATTCTAGGGATAAGTTTTGATATATGTACTACTTTTTTTTCTCTTTTCGTCTGTTTGTTTTAATTTAACTTATTTGTTTATCAGTCCATCCTGTATTCAAACATATTCCTTGACTATAGATATCAGTCCTAATCTACTAAAATATTTCTAACCCGTTAAATAGCCAAATTTTGCTTACGAGTCTTTTGTAGCCTTAAAAGGCTTCTAGCGTCCTAAATTTTAAGTCTGCTATGTTTGGTTTTGTCCTAGAACTTTACTCTAACATGACTTAGAATGTAAGTTTCTGACACAGAATGAATGTGGTCTAAGAACTTAAAAATTTGTAATTGGACATTTACCTATTGTGGTCCAATTTCCAAAATCTAAATACATGGTTAGATTCAGCATATCAAAGAACCACAAAAACTCAATTTTTTTGATGAAATCAAACAAAGATTAATTTTGGATCCTTTATACCTTAATGTAGACTAATTTTATAACGGGCCAAAAATCCAAAATCTAAATACATAGTAAGATTCAGCGTATCAAACAACCCATAATTCAATTTTTGTTGAAATCAAACAAAATTTATTTTTGGACCCGATTTGGACCAATTTGAAAACCGAGCCCAAATCAAAAATCTAAATACAGGGTTAGATTCGGCATATCAAAGAACCCCACTTATTCAATTTTTGTTAAAATCAATAAGTTTAATTTTGGACCTTTTGGACCTTAATGTAGACCAATTTGAAAACCAGGCCCAAAATCAAACATCTAAATACACGGTTAGATTCAGCATACCAAAGAACACCAAGAATTAAATTTTTGTTGAAATCAAACAAAGTTTAATTTTGGACCCTTTGGACCTTAACGTTTACCAATTTGAAAACGGGGCCAAAAAACCCAAATTCTAAATACATGCGATTGGTTAGCTATTCTAACATCGGAATCGGACTTCCTTTAAACTGAGTTTTACTGTGCGTATTGCTATGTGTTTGTTTTTTCTACATTGGCTAGATGTATAAGGGGGGAGGGGTTGAGATCTCACAAAACATGTTTAACCCCGCTGCATTTTTGCGCATGTCCCAAGTCAGGAACCTCTGGCCTTTGTGAGTCTTGGTTGTTTTTTTTTTTGTTTTTGGTTCATCTATATGTTTCGGAGTTTAGTGTGACGTTCATTTTCTCTGAACTAGTACACATTTTTATTTAGGGGCCAGCTGAAGCCTGCCTCCGGGTGCGGGATTTTCTCGCTGTGTCGAAGACCTATTGTTGGCTTTGGGCTGTTTTCTGCTCTTTGGTCGGGTTGTTGTCTCTTTGATACATTCCAAGTTTCCATTTTAAATTATAAGATTCAGCATATTAAAGAACACCAAAAATTCAAGACTTTGAATTAAACACTATTGAAATTCGCCAAGAAATAACCTAAGTATACATTGTATAAGAAAAGTATTGTTGTTGGTCCCTTTTCTTAAACGTTTAGGGCCATAACCCCCAAAAATCAATTCCAATCTTCCTTATGAGGTATTGAACTTTGTAGTACAACGCCTATACACATGTTATTGTCCTGAACCAAGAAAAATGCTTGTTTTTACCCCTTTTTGGCCACAAATTCCCAAAACAGTTAGGACAATAACCCCCCCCCCCCAAAAAAAAAAAAAAATAAAAAAAAATCAATCCTTACCTTCCTATTGTGGTATTGAACCTTGTGGTACAATTTCATAGAAATCCATACACTTATACTCATAGCCTTCATGTGTTTGGTGAACAAAAAAGTGCAACAGCGTAGGTTCAAAACAAATGTTTATTTGTATTGTAAAATAATAAAGGTGATAAGACATTAAACGTTTAAATATGGAAAGAGGAAGACACATTTTTTAACAGGTTGAAAGAATATTTCCGGATCTTTTCTTGTCTTCCGCAATCATTGGTTCATTTCAGATCACAATCGTAGCAACGGTGTTCATAACCACTCTGCAAAAAAATATCAACACAAACTGTCAGTGAAATGTGTTTGCATATAAACTTTGAAGAAGCCATTTGACAAAAAAATTATTATGAAAGCATCAGACGAAATACGTAGAAAACAATAAGAGCAGAAGATATCTATTCATTAAAACTATACCCGGAAAAAACCATGATATTCATTACTTCCGTAGGTAAATTTATCGAAAAGAGAGTTACAGTACTACTAAACATTCTAAATATACTCATGTACTGTTCACAATATACACGTAGTTACGATTTTCCTAACATACCCCGTTACAGTAGCATGTTCCGTGACACCTTGTATAACTTTCTCCACAACAACCACCATTGTATCGTCCACGTCTCATACAGTTAGCGGCACATCCCAGTTCACCACCCCAACATGAAGCTCTCGTATTTCTGTTTAATGCTACTCCTGGAAGAGGTTATTTTATTAACATTCAGTATCTCAGCATACATTTGAGTAGCAACTGCAATATAGTTCCATGTGTAATTGCTTTCTAATTTTTCCATTGCTACATTTGGAGTCAGATTTGTTTATCTTCCAAAGCACCTAAAATGCTCCCGGGTTTTGGTGGGATTTGTGTCACTCAAGTCTTTAATTTTCTATGTAGCAAAACATGTACCGTTATTTTTCTTGTCGTCGTTTTTCGTTTTTTTGCCATGGCATTGTCAGTTTGTTTTCGACTTATGAGTTTGAATGTCCTTTTGGTATATTACGCTTCTCTTTTACACGCATCTTCGTGGTTTAGTTTTGAAAATGCTTCAATTTTTTTTTATTGAATTACGTATGATAACCAGTTAACTTTTTGATCATTATATATACATATTTGGAATGCGTTTAAGCTTAGATGGCTTTGTAATTCGTAATCCGAAATCAATGAAGAAATCGAACAATACAATTAGGCAAATCATATTATACATTCGATTATTTAACATTTTAAAACAAAACAAATAAATACGAATAATCACATATAATACACAGAAATAAAAGAGAGGCGGAAGATACTAAATAATTGTTCAAACACACAAGTTGACGACAAACTGATACTAAAAACCAATTTATTTTCGCGACCGATTTATTTTCGCGAGTTGAAAACTAACGCGAATATAAATCTTCGCGAATTTGTTAAACTTTTAACTTCCTTTATATAAATACGCCAAAATAATTTAAAAAACGCGAAAATAAATCGCCGAAAAGTCGGATACGAAGGACTAAACGCGAAATAAAATATCCGCGAAAATAAGTTGGTTTACAGTAATGCCATGTCAAAAAAAAATCAAACTTTATCAAGTTTAGAATTATAATAACTCAGTCTTGGTGAAAACATTCTGCCTTGCGGGTTTTATGACATATATCCAGAAATTAACAGAACTAAGGGAATTTAGAACTTTCTTTTTTATTGTTGACAAATCCAGTGAGAAATTCTAACCCTTCTTTAAATTTTGATCAGGTTGTGTAATATTTTGCACTTCGAAATCAGTATTGATATTGAATATGAAAACTGTACAAATATTGTGAAATACAGTGCTTATTTGGTAAGATTGTTAATATACATAACCAATGAAAAAGCTAGAGGGGTTATAAAATAAAAAGAAAAAGTTAAAACGAAGAAGAGAACATCTTAACTTCAAAATAAAAATCAAGAAAAAAATACCAAAGCGGCAATACAAAATCTTATTTCGAAGATAAACAGACAACATCATACATTAGCGGATTGATTAATGTCTTTTGTCTTGCCCTACGACATTGTCAAACTCATAAACGTTGGTTAACATTCTTATCCAATACATATACATGGTTGACTTAAAAATTCAAAATGAAAACATGGTTTTCCAGGAAAAAAGACAGAAAAGACAATTAGAGACAAGACGAAACGTAAGCAAATGCAACACGTACTCCATTTAACCAAAACTACTTGTGAACTCAGTTGTTCTAAAGGGATAAAAAGTCCCTGTTCCCCATTTTAGTAGGTTATATAAAAGAAGGGTCAATATTGCATTAAATTGTATACTTAGACTGAACAGTCCATTCTCACCTTCTCACATTCACTGCTTTTATCTTTTATTCCATGTTGAACGTTAACTGAATGCAATATAGATTTATTAGGTAAACTTAATATATCGATATAAAACATTTATAGCAAAACATGTGTTTCTACCACTGCTGTCAAATTGTGAATCGACTTCTGTCCTATTTCGTCAATTCAAAGAAGAATATATTCTGCTTCTTTAAGTTTAAATGTATATTTACCTGCATCACTGTCCTGGCACAAAGCAGCTAAAATAAAAATAAGCGTTAGAGGAGGTAGCATTTAAAACACACATTATCAATACCATAGAGGTGACACGCATAGGGACACGTGACTACTTAAGTATAACGAAAAGTACAAGTACATGTATTTGAATAAAAGTCTAAAACCCCTACATTAATTTGACTCCAGGCTTATTTTAAAATCATATCTTTCCTTGAGTTTACAGTCCTGCACACAACTTGTTTTATTTTGAGATTATAACAATGATATGGTCTATTTCTGAACATGTGAGCAATTTATATTTATATATGTTGAATTGAGGTAGCTTAAACCTGATATTGACAACGAGTATGACAAAAATGAAGTAGCCTTAAGTTTTTCAAAAATACTTCATTAAATGTGCACTAAAGTTTGGTTCTGATATTGGTTATATTTCCACCTCTCCTTTTTACTTATACCAAAAAGTTAATTTCAAGGACATTTTAGATGAACATTGTATTGGTATAGCTACATACGGAAGCCCTGGAGTGCCATGCCAATATAAAATAACAATTCGTGCGCACGAGTTACTAACTTGTGCGCACAAGTTACACAATTTGTAGACATGAGTAACTAACTTATGCGCACGCGTAACTAACTTGTGCATACTAAAAAAATCTTAACAGGGTTACTGCTGCAATGATTATAACTTTTGTGAAATTTTCAAGGCAACATTCTATTTTAAATATTACAGGAATCGCATGTATCTATTTCCCCTCTCCACTATAAATCTTTTGATAAATCAAGGCGTCATGTATCATAAATTGTAATTATCAAAATTCTACCATGCTATTTCGATTTAAAATTTTCAAAACTGTACCATAGTTATTTTAAAAAATGTCCGATAAATATCGGGAAATCTATTATAACCAATATGGACAACATCACAATTCGTTGTCTTTCATATTCGGTCAGTATGGGAGCTTAACATTGAGTGTCCGGTACTGGGTGAGTGCCACAGTGTTTGCGCGTTTGTACGTTCATCAATTCAATCAACACCCTCCAACGTGCTTGTAGCTAGCCTTATTCAACATTCCCTTCTTTATTTTGATTTTCTAAATTGACAGCTATTATACTTCTGTCAATCTACTTCTCTGATCTTTTTTGATTGATTTTAAAATCTGTTCCCGTCGTTATATATAAATTTGACATATTTATTAATTCAATGTAATTAAAACAGGCACGGGAAAATAAATTATAAAAGATTAAACTAAGAAGACTACATAAATAATAATAAAAAATGATACAATACAAATACATATATATATATATATATATATATTGTAAAACATACAGACAGATGCTTTGTACGACAAACTATTCTCGGGCTTTTATCATACTCGACTCACCAAAGATAGTCAATACCAACAAAACCCAAACGGAGCACTTCATGTCTACAAATCTGAAATGATACATTTCAGGCCAATTAAATAATAAAAGAAAACAAAATGTTAATTTGTTTTACCTTTTGTTGAGTTAAGGAATGACTGTAATATTTTTTCTGCCTATGAAGAAATAACATCAAAAATGTGGTGCACACTGAATAACCCGCGTAGCGGGTTATTTTAAAGTGTGCACCACATTTTTTATGTTATTTCGAATAGACAGAAAAAAATATTACAGTCATTTCTTATAATTTAATTCTAAATTCCATTTTAAACCGGAGTAAACCATGAAAAAACGTTGATGACGTCACGGTCACATGACAAAATTATGTATATGAGCTGATAAACAAGACAACGTCAGCCAATCAGTAGACGCGTTACATCCAAAATTAAATTATTTAAAAATGATGTCTAAATTATTTGAAGATTACTAAAACTTTTATTCACATTTTGCTCTAATTTTTATTTTCAATATTTTAACATTAAAAATATTAAATCAGTTTTACTTTCAAACTTACTATGTGTATATAGCCTTAGTTGGATGTCAGAATAAAAGGTACAATTACATTACAGTTATACAAATAATTACTAATTAAAATTTCGCTACAGTTGGATTAGAAAGTATTCATCAATATTTCTTATACCAATATCAATATGAATAATATAAGCAGGGACAATTTAAAGCAAATGAAATAAGAAAATAGTAAACTCAATTCATGTTTGTTACTTAACCCTCTTAGTGCGTATCGAAATTTCAAAACATTGTCCAGAAACGGGACAATTTCAGTTAAAAAAATCCCACAAACAGTAAATTGTTATTCAGTCTAGAATTACAACATGTTAACTTAAATAATAGAAGAATTACTAAGATATAAAGTCAAGATGTTTATTTTTTCAAAAAATAACGTTATTTATTTGACATTACATAACGTCATAATGGTGTTCACGTCACGTTCTTAGGAAGTTTCGCGCTTTTCAATTAGCTAACGTCAAGCACTTTGCAGTGGTTGGAAGAAAACGTTCAGTTTTTTGCAAAACAGCACTATACTTTACAAAATTTCATGTCAGTTTTACATATTTTCGGTTGGTTATTTTAAATCAAATCAAATATTTTATTGGATAAAGCACATATATATATATATATAAAATATGACATTGTGTAATCCAAGTGTACAACATACATGACAAAAAATGTAAATAAATTAAACATAATGCATAATAAGAGAAAACTAATTATATGCTGTATATATAACTACAAGTCTATTTTTTGTACGGAACTTCCATTACTTGCTAGCCTAACTGACACTAAGCATAGTTTTTAACTTCAAATTGGGTTTTTCTCCTTGTTGAAGGCCGTTCGATTGCCTGTAATTGTTTACATCCACTTCATTTGAACTTTGCGGGATAGTTGTCTCATTGGCAATCATACCACATCTCCTTTTTTATATTCAAAGGCTTATCTCATATTTTTACAAATTTGGTTGGCATCAGCCAACTTATTTTGATTAATTAAATATAATTTAAATTTGGATGAAACGCGTCTCCTGAGTGGCTGCTAACGTTTGTCTATCAGCTCATAGACATAATTTTGTCATGTGACCGTGATGACCGTGATGTCATCAACGTGATTTACTCCGGCTTAAAATGGAAATTAGAATTAAATTATAAGTTATGACTAATATTGTTTCTGTCTATTCGAAATAACATGAAAAATGTGGTGCACACTTTAAAATAACCCGCTTAGTACGCTGGTTATTCGGTGTGTTCCACATTTTTGATGTTATTTTTTCATTGACAGAAAACATATTACAGTCATTCCTTAAATGTTACTGATTTCATAAAATCATCTTTAACCAATTTTTGAAAACTTAAATTCTCCCGAAGGTTTTTATAAAGGGGACATTTTAAAAGGAAGTGCACACCATATTCTGCTTTATCTCCGCAAAATTTGCAGAAACTTTAAGTTGCTAAAGTTTTTGGTAAACTGTATCACCCCGTTTCAATAGCAAGTGATTGTGCACTTATTCTGATCTGAGTGATCGCTCATATTTTGGAATATCAAAGCATAGGTAAGCTTTTAAGTCAAACGATGAGCAAGTTTTACAATACAATCTGAGTTTAACAGTGCTGTGTTATTAGATTTAATGTGCTCAAATTGATATAATATTTAATAATTTATAAAAGTTTTTAAATGACTCTCCAAACGCAGTATATAATTAGGGAGCTACCATTTGTGATTTTTGTGGTGGTGGTGGGGATGGGGGTGTGGTTGGGTGCTAGGATGAAAAATTTTGTCCTGCATTTTTTAAGTTGTAATCTCTGTTCTGCCTTTTTTTATTTTTTCACTCTATTTGGTCCTACCTTTTTCGTATTAGTTTATCCTGACTTTTTTTACATAAATTGTCATCCTGCCAATAAAAATCAAACGGTAGCTCCCTTATAACCTATACAATACACGTTTCTTTTGTTTTAATTGTGTTTTCTATGTACATGCACCTGTACATGTATTTCATAGCACGCTTATATTAAAATCTGAACTGTCAAAATAAGAATTTTTACATTATTGGTTTAGGGGCAAGCTGCGTTGGAGACCCATTGGTTGCCTGTGTGGTGTTTTCTGCCTTTTGGTCGGGTTGTATCTTTTTGACACATTCCCCGTTTCCATTGTCTACTAGTATTCAGATTTAAAGGATGCATGTGTCCTAAAATAAATATCGTCACACCTAAAAAGGCCAACATTTTATTGGCTTAACTATGATGCAATTAATTTTAAGCCTTGATTTCTTAACAAAGACCCATTTAAGATTAATGGTGTTTACACATGCACACAAGCACAAGCATGCACAATTTATATCCTTTACTTTAATAGAAATGTTAAAAGATGCCAAAAATATATCAATGATGTGATATGTTTTGCTATATATATACTGTTAAATGTATCTGTCTCCGGAAATATCCCCCCCCCCCCCAGTGAAACATTGCAGAGGCGGATTAAGGGGGGGGGGCAGGGGGCCCGTCCCCCTTTTTGTGGGAAAAATTTGGTTGATTATATAAGGAATCACTGAAGCATGACTGGAGCGGCCCCCACTTATGAAAATTTCTGGATCCGCCACTGCATTGTAATCGTCTTGTTCCCTTTTCTTTGTAGACGATGGTTGCACCGACGCTAGTGTCATCACATGAAATATTTCTTGTGTTTATTATGGTTATTATTTTCTATGTTATACATGTATTCATATCATATTTCATATGTCATATTTATTATCATATCACATTGACGCTTGACGAATGACAAATCCAAATCGAGCACACCTTTTTACCTGCATAATTTCTAGTTACCGCCAAAAATGTGGATGGGATGCGCTACTAGCTATATATTTACATGTTTGTTTTTTTTCTGTTTCTTGGTTTTTAGGTTCAGTTCTAATATTTTCGTTAATAACTGCTTAATTTCTTTGATTAAAACTGTTCGATGGTATATTTATACTATTTGTATCTATCATTATATATATATATTTACAGAACAAATAATAAGAGGGCCCTTCCGAATTTATATAGCTATATGGAGAAATATAACTCACGAAAACGTATTCCAAAATAATACCGTATGTGTTAATTTATATATGTACATCAATGTAATATTTACACATATTTAGAAAAGATCTTTTATTACATCTTTCTTTTATTTTTTTCCCCAACTTGGCATTTTACACTCAATATATATAACACATGAAGTATAAGGAAAATATAGATCTTTGTTTGAAGCATCGTATTCAGTATCAGCATGATATGAGTTAAAAAATTATACTTGTCTAAAACTTAAACATCGTAAGGTGTTACTTCATTGAATAAATGTGAAGGAATTTCAAAATTTGCCGTTTTTAAAGATAGCACACTCTTTTGTTCACGTCCCAAGTCAGGAGTCGGAGCCTGTAATTCAGTGGTTGTCGTTGGTTCATGCCTGTCAAATGTTTTTCATAAATTGTATTGTTATAAATTATGCCGTTAGTTTTCATGTTAGAATTGTTTTACATTTTTTCATTTCGGGGCCTTCTTTAGCTGACTATACGGTATAATGGCTTTTCTCATTGTTTGACTGATTCCTGCTACTAACGGGTTTCGAATAACTGCATGGTATCTATTCATTTTTGCACATAAACTAAAGCATATAATAATTAATAAAACATAAAAAATATTCAGAATACTGAATGCTTTTTTATGCCAATTTAACAATTTGTATCAATAAATTAATTGTAGACTTATTTATCTATATACCAACGTAGAATTCATTTGTTTTCAAACAAGTAAGAAAACCAAGGCAAGCACCAAGTTCAACACTTAGTATATATCAGTGTCCCTCCCAATCTAAAAGAGTTGAGGACATTTGTTTGAAATATTTATAATTGTTGGATACAAGAATTAAAACCAAATAGCAAAAATTTTGTTTGTACTTTTCAATTATTATTTGTTCATGTTGATTTTGTTTTCTGATTCTATGTTATCTTATCAATACGAAGCATTTAAAAGGTTCATTCTAAAATTTGATAGCGCTACTTTGCCTTCAACTCAATTACGACATAAAATGACGTCAAATAATATATGACGTAATGATGACGTTTTATGAAAAAGATGGATAAAAAGAAAACAACAACAAAAATAACAACCACATAATGAATAAAATATATAAAATGTATTCAATAAATGAAGGAAAGGGTATTTTTTAGAAATATTAAAAAGTGAAAAAATAATTGATTTTTTTTCACACAAAGGACATATATGTCCTTCCCGCAGTAAGCCAGGGGAAGACATATATGTCCCTGCCGCAGTAAGAGGGTTAATTAATGATCTAGAGAAAAGTGTTATAATACGAACATAAATATAGAATAATAGCATTTTTGTTTTTGATACCGACTTTATCTGCAAGAATATCAAGCGAGCCAGCTAGGTCGAGCTGATTGATGAACTCTGTATCAAAAACAAAAATGCAATTATTCTATATTTATGTTCGTATTATTATACTTTTATCGGCAATTTGTCTTAACTGTATTTTTTTTAGGTTGAGAATATGAAATAAAATGAAATACTAAAACTATTTTTACGAGCACAAAACGTTGTGATAGTTGTTCGGTTGTATGAATGAAGTCGTGTTCATTTCATTGATAGACATGAACACGTTACGTTGCTTCACTGATACATGACGTCATTGTCTAATATTTTCGAGTACCAAATCCTGTCCAAATATATTAGGCAGTAATATAAAAAATAGTATAGAAAATATACAAATAATTGTAAAATCATCGTTTTTCAAATATACCTTTTTGAATAACTGAGACGAATGACTGGTCACGATACTTCCAATAGCAACAAAAAGTCCAATACCAATAAATCAAGCAAATATTTTTACCTGAATTCTGTTCCTGTATTTATACTGTCATGATCAAAATCTAGATGTAACCAGTTTGAACAACGATTATACCGATAATGCAATACCAGGTGCACACCGAATGTCATAACAAAATTTAATAGTAAACATTTTTCTCTATATGAAAGCCGTCTGTCAAACATATGTCCATCATAATTTGAAATATATATACACAGGTTAGGAGAAGCCTTGACAGCTAACAAACATATTAAATCCCGTAAAATTTTTCCACAGGAGTCTCTAGTCTAGTAGTAACATGCATGTTACAAGTTCATGGTAGTAATAAAAACAATTGGTTACGCCATTGCATATTCCCAAACCACAATTCCAGTCATAGTTGATTTCTTTATGATGTATTTGATTCGATTTATTGTCCGTAGTCGTTGGTTTCTCTTTTATTTTAATTAGGGCCCCGACTAGTGGCGGGTCGCCCTTTAGTGGCCAGTCTGTCCGTCCGTCCGTAACAAATTGTGTCCGCTCTATATCTAGAGAACCGTTATAAGTTCATACTTTATACTTGACATATTAACCAACACCAGAGGGTGTGTCATAATGTTTGTACAACTTCCTAAGTCAAAGTTCATGGTCAAAAACTTTGGTTTCAGTTGACAACCACATGTCCAATGGTAAAGATCGTGTCCGCTCTATATCTTGAGAACCGTTATGATTATAAAGTTCATACTTGACATGTATATTAACCAACACCAGAGGGTGTGTCATAATGTATGTACAACTTCCTAGGTCAGAGGTCCGTCCGTCTGTCGTGGTCCGTCCGTCCCTAACTAATTGTGTCCGCTCTATATGTTCAGAACCGTTATGATTTATACTTTATACTTGACATGTATATTAACCAACACCAGAGGGTGTGTCATAATGTATGTACAACTTCCTAGGTCAAAGGTCAAAAACTTTGGTTTCAGTTGACATCCCCAAGTCCGACCACACGTTATTTACAGCGGGGCCCACAGAGATGGCTCCCATCACAATGATGTCTAATTCGTAGTCGATCTATACTTTGCTTAAGTGATTGTGTATAAAATTTGCTTTCTTATCGCAGTTTTTACATCAAATTTATCTAGCATGTCTAGTACATGTAAGTGTTGCAGAATCAACAAACAGGAAAAATTGAAACATATGTTTTTCATATGTTTTTAATAGACATATGAAAAAAATAATGTGTCCATAGGATACAGAAAATAGGGACGAAAGACACCAGAGGGACAGTCAAACTCACAGATCGAAAACAAACTGACAACGCCATGGCCAAAAATAAATAGACAAACAGACAAACAATAGTACAGACGACACAACATAGAAAACCAAAGACTAAGCAACACGAACACAGATGATGCCTCCGCTTGCATATAACGTTATACAAGGATATATTAAAATAATATTCAACTCAAAAGTCAATGTTGTTGCTTTTCAAAGTCATGTGTTAATGCTAACAGTCAGTTGCATACACATGCACCAGTAATAGAAGACAAGCAGTGAAGACAATCACATATCTGCGTGTGGTAATAGCAACAATAGTAACACACACACGTCAGATTACCCACAATACAATACAATAACAGCAATGACTGTATTTATTAAAATAGATGTCAGTCTTTCCACCAAAAACTAAGGCTTCAGGTTTGATAACAGCAACCTGGGGCATGGACTTCCCTTTTTTTTTAAATGTATTTAAAGTAGGCTTATTTTATATTATTACCTATTCCTCTATATACGACTTTACCGTGAAAAGTAGTGATTATCAGGAATTATAGACTTCTGGTATTATATAAGTGTGCTCTTCTATTCTCAATTTCCGAGAAGGACATGTGTATGTGATATTTACAGGGCGATATACTAATTAATTCAATTTATAGTCACACGGTTAAGTACAAATGTATATCTATTTCTAGGGGAATGGTTTGTTGGTTACGTTGAAGTGCATGTCTGCGGTGTCTGAACCCCGATTCTCCCACGGTTGTGACCATTCTGACGAGTTTTTTGTTAATGACCTTGACTACCCATGAGGATCTTGCATGGTCGGTGAGCATTCCGGAGCATGGACCACTCTCTTTATTCAAGGTTTATAACATTAGATTTGTTTTAATCTTCATTAGGGTGCAACCATTTGAAATTCCAGAGAGGGCGAGGAGAATTTTCTCAGGAATGATCATTTATTTTCATTTGTTGCTACGCATGCGTCTTCCATCACCCCAGAAAATAAAATGATTGTCCCCTTATTTTCAACTGTTTACCCTTTTTCTAAGCTGCTTGCTCTCATCCGTATAATCTTAATATTATTAACTGTAGTTTTAATTATATGTACGGTCCATCTAGACTGGGACAGTTATTTAAAGACTGTATGGATATAAAGAGCAACGTAAACTTTTATAACTAGACCTCACCCCACCCCACAAACAATAGAAAAGAGAGTTGCATGCTCCAAGTACTTGCTAAAAGTAAAAGATATAAAAACCCACCAATGAAGTAATAGAATAAATTCATTAAAAAATTGACTGTTAACATACAAATGTAGAGCAACTAGTTGATTGTTCGAGTTTGTGTCCATTTACATCATCGACATGCCTTATCGAGTCCGGGCTTCAATGTCTTCTTAGACATTAGACATTATTTCATTTTACTCGGTAAATCATGGGCCCTTGTCAGGTAAGATAATATAATAATTATTATAAAACAATAATTATTATAAAGCATGCGAGTTTTTAGGGAGAATACACAATACAGAAAGAAATAAAGTGAAATATGAGCAATATTAGTCCATTAATTATGACGTCTTGAAAAGCTATTTGGAAAAAAGCAATATGGGATATTACAGTAAAAAGTCTTAAGTGTTTTATAAAAAAAAACCCAGTATTTATAAAACTGAAAATATTTAAATTTAGATACTAACGAAAAGATACATCGAGTCAGTATGCTATGACACAACTAGTTGAACTTATTCGTGCAGTAATAATGAAAATGCTTTAGCGCAACGCATTCGGGAATCAAGTTATTTGGGAAACTTAGTCTGGATTCGGTTTTCATTTTAAAACGCCTGAAAGATCTATACCATAAGTGATGATGCAGACGACACCAAGGACGCAGTTTCTGGTTGTCAAATTAGAAATGTTGATTGAACTGGACAAACAAACATGGGTCACAAATATAGCAAAGTCCCCAAAATGTTTGAAAGGTTATTTTAATATTTTGCTGTGATGCCCTTTCCTACAAAGGGGTCACAGCAAAAATTGCAAATAGCCTTTCAAGACATTATAATTATTAGTAGCTGGGGAACCGTCGCTCTTAGGTTCGTATGATATTTTTTGACAATATGTGGATCTATGGTCCGCAAATTGTCCAAAAATATCATACGAACCTAAGAGCTACGGTTCCACAGCTTAACTATTTGGACTACGAAGGCACTGCGGAACCGTAAAACTAATGGTCTTGGTTATGTTTTCTGATTTGTGCGGACTGTCCCCCAAATTAACAAAAAAAAATCATATAGACATAAGTGCTACCATTCCGCAGCTAAGGTGGACTACGAAAAATTGTGCTTTTGACCCGTATTGAAATGTATATTATTTTCATACGAATATTGTTTTTGATATTTTAGATATTGACTGTAAATTTACATTAAGATTTCATATCAAAGTACAAATGTAAAATATTTATATCAAAATCATACGTGAGGAACAATGGAACTGTGCACAGTACAGTAAATGCAAAACAAAGAACACACAAAAAGCAACCTTTTCATTTCTATTTTCCATCTTAAAATGAGGCCTTCAACACGGAGCAAAAAAACTCTCAACTCACTGCAAGTTTTAGACAGCCCCCTAGCACCGGTTTGAGCGGAATTCTTTTGCAAAATAATTCGGGTAGACTTTGTAAGATGTACATTTGTTACACCACCAAATTGGGCCCGGTCAAAAACAACATACTGGAATGTAGTCCATATTTGAAATTGTTTGATTTTCTGAATCATTTCCATAAAAAGTTAAATACCTATTGTCATCGATCATCAATACTGTTTCCTAATAAATATTCCTCTGATCAGCAAAATACACAACTTTTTCTTGTTCAAACTGCCACTTACCTTGAATCAAATACTTCACAAACTCTCTGACATTTTTTTATAGGAATTATTCATTATTTTGTTTTCAGAATAGATCGACATGGAGCGGGAACGACTTGGGCCGATCAAAATTGACTTGACACCTTTTAATTATTCGGACTATGGATATACATGATATATATAACAGACTAAACCCTTCAATAACGGAATAATACTGCAATAGATACAAAAACAATGTTAGTGAAACAGGAAAGCCTGCAATTTCAAAGTACTTGACCTGTGATAGAAAAGTCATCCACACTGTTTTAGTAGAACATAGAAAACCAAAGATTGAGCAACACGATCCCCACCAAAAAATGGGGATGATCTCCCGTGCTCCGGAAGGGTAAGCAAATCCTGCTTCAAATGTGGCACCCGTCGTGTTGCTCATGTAAGTACAAACCCGGTGATATGTATAATTCAGTCGGTCACATTCGGGAGAAGGAGACGAGATTGTAACTTTGTAATTAAGTTAAATATTTGGGTTATTGTGGTATCAAATGATCGCTTAGGGATTTGGGATACCTGTCGAACCCTTGTTGAAAGTGTCTTTTGAATGATAAAAACAATATATGAAATTGAAATAGGAAGGCATATCTTGGCTGTAAGCTCAGCATGCTCAGATCGCAAGTGCCTGTTTTTGTACTACCAAACTAACTCTATATATGGGAACCAGTGCCCTCTTATATGCAATTCAAGCCTTTTCTAAAAGGTATGTTCAATTTTTCAGCACAAGACAGGATAAGGTATAGTTTTGACAGGAAATGATTGTTACTTTATTTAAATTTCAAAGTATCTATGAAGGATTGAAATTGCAGAACGTAACATAGGAAGCAATGGGCTATGAATTTATTCCTTAATTTAAATGACAATTTTCATACATTTTTTGTGTTTTGATAAGAAACTGAAAACAGACAAAAATCATTTGCAACA